TAAAGCAAAATACATTACCAACAGACAAAACATAAAAGACGGAAGAGTAAGAGGACCAATATCACCAAGGTACGGAGAGACTAACATGAAGTTCTTTTTGCTGCCACAGAGGGGGCTTCCAGCGATTAATCACAATCGCTTCGGCAAACCTTAGCAATCTTGCGACTTGTGACTTGTAGACAATTCGAAACGCTGTGCCTCGGTCGACTTGGTGTTGCGTCATCAGCAGATGTCGAGCAATTGCTGAGGCCGGGGTCTTGTAGTTTCGACCGTCGTTTCTATGCAGCGGACTTGACCTCAATTAGGTCAGCTGATTTTGCACCTAATTCGGAACATGTTCCACCAGCCGATTGCGTAACTGTCGCTCTGTTCGACCCACGTAGGTTGCTCCGCAACCACATTGGAATTGGTAGATTAGATTAGAGTTGGCGTACAGAGGCAGACGTTCTTTTGCCGGGGGTGTGGGTATCCTGGTTGTTCGGTAGACGAGTTGGGGGTCGGCTGCGTAGTAGATTCGAGCGATTGCTGACCTCAGTCGTTTGTAGAGCAGGCGGCCTACGTCGTCACCTTTAACCAGAAGGTGTATGTGACCCGCAATTTGGGAACTCACGTAAACGGTTCTTTCGCAGTTTTCGGTTTGCTATGCTTATTAACAAACGCTTCGGGGTAAGCGTTTTTCGCTAGAAACTCCCGGAGGTTTTGCAGTTCTTGTTCAATTCTGTCTTCCGTGCAGATTCGCCCCGTTCTGTCGAATAAGATCCGAACAAGATCACGTTTATACTCCAGGGGTTTAAAGCTCTCGAAGTGTAGATATTGGCCTATCCACGTTTCCTTTCGATAAACGGATCGAGCAATCGTTCCGTTTTCTCTTCTGTTCATAGTAATGTCAAGGAAATTGATTGTGTTGTTAGATTCATATTCCATTGCGAAGTATATATTTGTATGTAGTCTGTTGAGTTCATCCATAATTTACGTAGCTTCTTCTAAGCTTTCTGTTATAACTAGAGTGTCGTCGACGTATCTTTTGTACAGGATAGCGCACCCCAAAATATTAGTTCCTTTTTCTTCCAGATGTACCATGAACAAGTCTGCCAGGACTGGGCCTAGCGGGCTGCCCATAGTGACACCATCGATTTGCCTGTACGCATTCCCTTGAAAAGAGAAAGACACGTCGGTTGTGCAGAGCAGTAGTAGACGCTCAAGGACGGACACCGGTAGACACAGTCGAATATTTTCTTTCTCTACATGATCCCAGATAATTAGTATGACTTCACGAACTGGTACGTTAGGGAACAGGGATTGAATATCGAAGGAAGCCATGTGTTTTCCTTCTATGTTGATCTCGTTCAAAATATCCACCAATTCAAAACTGTCTTTGACTATATGTTTGACCATCGATTTATGAACTGGTTCCAACACCTTAACCAGCCATTTCGCCATTTTGTGCTGGGGTGAGTTCGTCATGGATAGAATTGGTCTGGGTGGCACACCTGGCTTGTGGAGTTTCGGTAGGCCATAAAGTTGGGGAATCTGAGTTCCTCTCGGCTTCAGGTCCCGCGCGGTGTTCGAATCGATGAAATGTCCTTCTAATAGAAACTGAACTTCAGAGGCAATTTTCCGTTCCAGTTCTTTGGGGTCATCACATGCTTTTTCTCGTAAGAAGTTGCTGGGGTCATTGAGGATACATTCCATCTTTCGTTGATAATCTGCAAGGTCCATCAGGACAGCCCCATGTGACAGTCACCATGTGATTTGTCTACGGAGCTCTGAGTTACAGTCGTCTGATTCAGTAGTTCCAGAACATTCTGACTCTGTTCTCAACATTATAATCTTCATTCTGCTTTTTATCTAAATGGGCAACCAAAACCGGCGCCCGAAAGTGCATGGTTAATGGTTGAAAAAACTGAAACTGCACTGAACACATTCTGCTTCTCTCGGATTGATAAGCGCTTGCACATGTTGATATCAAATGACACTGTCTTAGATTGCCGACATTTGTCTGCCTACATCACGACGGATATCAAATCAGTATCTTTTCATTTCCTCGTCATACTGAGTGAAACGTCAATGGTTCAGTGCGACATTGACTAAAAGTCAACCGGTACATCGGTCAACGACCAAGTGCGATATATCGTTTGGGCGACATTGCATTGTCAGGATCCGCGTTATTGCGTATACGTTAAGTTTGCTAAAGATGTGCGAAAATATTATTCTATACGATTTCCCATAGATGCGACATCGCAGGAGATTATAGTTTGTGACGGTCGGTTGGTTCTACGAATATACCCATGCTCCGTTGCAGCCGCCAATGATTTCCAATAGTCATCCTGCTGTAATTCGCGACAATGGGTACTGGAGGCATTATTGATCGCCCACAAAGAACACACATTATGTGTATGACCTTTGCTCTTACCCTTAGCTGTAACAAGTCATGTGCAACTGAACAAACCATGTTTCTTAACTCGATTTCCTAAATCATTTTATTTATCTATCTTGTTTACTGTTTCATGTGCGCGACCGATGATAGTAAAAGGCCGGAATTTCTCTCGCAGTATTTGTCTTCTGACTCACATTCAAGTTAATTATAGGGTCTTACTATTGTTTTAAGAGTTCTTTGAAAATTCATTATTTTCCCTTTATTTCTCCCTTGACTACGGCTCATCCTAGTTCTGTTTTTATCAGAAATTGGACATGATATTGTACAATGCTGCATATTGATAAAGTTCGATCGATCTGTTTATAATATCTGGTCGTCTATGCTATGCACTTCACGATACCGGAACCAGATTCAAAAGCACGAGGGTGACTGGGACAACCGTGTCTGTATAGGAGTGATGAAATTTGCCAATACGACTCTGACAAGACGATGGCTAGAAAGTGATCACCCGTTCCGTCAGCCGGACTTCCTCGGTCAGGTTGATATAATTTTGGTGCCTCTACAGAAAAATGATATGAGCCACAAAGGTATGTCATTCGTTTTGCGGGTTTTTTGAAAGTTAGGTAATGTCTCACATGCGAAATGCAATTCATTAACTCACGATCACTGAAATTTAAAAGAACAGAAAAAATTATTGGTCACATGAGACACAGGTGCAATTCTCTTCTTTCAGATTTTACAAAAGAACATTTGAACCGATGAATTTCATGTTTTCCGGATATCGGCATTCATTCACTGTTTCTGAGTTCTACTAAGAATAAATCCCTTCTTACCACCTCTTCCGCAGCAAAGTAATACTTGCTGCGAATAGTCCACTTGTAACTCAAACGCAGGTTCATCTGTCAACAATTCTCATGGCACTTATTTACGTCAGGTATTTCTCGACTTGTGACATTGTATAACCAGGTTTCCCGTATGCTAAATATACTACGCTCCTTTCCGATTCTTAAATCCTCCGAATCCTCGCAAATGAATGCTCCCGAAATTGCTTTTATTTGTTTGCCTTAAAGCTCTGTTACAGGTTTTCAAACGATTCGCTTGCTACATGATCCAAAGTTGTTGCACTAGGGTACCGTATTTACATTTTTCCCGTTTTCAACGCAAATGCGCTGTTTACTATCAGTATTACTTTAGTGAAATTTCATGGCTTTTGGTACCTAGGTCTCTTCTCTTTTAACGTGTTTCTTTGTTTCACTATAAAGCAACATCACGACAAAGCCAGTTCCACTAATACCAACACACCTAGTACTAAAAATGACGGATTAGATTAGATTACACATAGCTTGAAACGAGCACCGGTGTAGAAGCGCAAATGCACGCAGTCTCCATCTAACCCGTGCACGCGGGTGTGCATCTATGCACGAACCGCAACGCAGATATCAGGGACAGCTTGGTGAACGTGGTTGACACAGTCACGGTGGACGAGCATGACAGAGTGAACGACACACTGGTTCCCTTAAATTCTGGATCAGAAGGCCCGGCACACCACTTCGTAATCTAGTACCGTAAGCACACGCAACAACAAGAACAATACAACATAGTGGGGTGGGATACAAAGCAGAATAAAAAGTGAGTTAGGTTAATAACACGAATAACAATGTTTGTGTTCCATCGTACACTTTTGATATCTTCTGTTTTACTTTTTTTAGATAGATTTATCTGGCTTCGAAATTCACAGCAAGAAATAACAAAGTTTGCATTGAAAAAAAAACGAAACTCAATTCCACCCTCTACGGAATCCAAATCCTTTTGATATTCCAAACTTCCCGACTGAATCCTTTATAAAAGGCCGACGGTGAGCCTTAGATACCTATCTATCTATTTTTTCAAAACAAAATGTTCGTCAATGGCTATTTTGTGATTTGTGGTTTTTGATTGTTTTTGGTGTGTGGTTGAGAAAGGGGTGAAATGGGAGGATGTGATCGTAACACGGTAATCTGGGCGGGGCCTTCGAATTTCGGCCGTGCTATCCGTTTTCTCCATCATCGGATTATTCACTGCATAACCATAAATGTGTCTGACTTTTGTATCACTCGCATGAACTTTTACCTTTGTTGCCAAGGCAACTGTTG